AGCCAAGGTTGCAGGCTACTCTGAAAAATATAAATCATATACCGGTTTGTTTAACACCTTTATGTTTACCACATCATTCCAGATTATGTTCTTTCATAGTTTTGATGTCTTCAGTATTAATCTACAATGTAAAAAATTATCTAAATAAATCAAAACTTTCAAATGAGAAGGTGTGTCCACACTTTTTACTGGTACTGTATGTGATCAAAGGTCATGGGGGGGCAGTGTGTGTGTGTGTGTGTCTGTGTGTCTGTGTGTTGTACATTCCTGCTTTTTTACTTCTTGCACCACAGTCCTTTCTTCTTCCAATGAAACTTTCACCCTGTCAGGGTGTGTGACTTCCACAGAACTGATAAAAACACTCACACCCATAAACACACATGATACCAGGACTCATTTGGCTTTGGTGACTGTTTCAGCAATAATTCAGTATCATTTTCCTTGGAATATGACTCCTCCAGGTAATGATTGCACAACGACACACAGCATCTCTGTTCTCTATAGAGTGAGAGGTTTTTTTTTACGGTGAAAACCTGGCAGCTTTGTTGCCAGAATAATGATGTAAAAAATACCGTAAACTGTGAACTTTACAGAATAACGTGTATATTTTACAGTTTAAAACTGTTGTAATTTACATTTTAAATCTGTAATTTCAACAGCCCTTTTCCGCTTAATTAGCATGATCACGTTGCTATTAAACTGATTATTTCAGTAAGATTTACATGCAGTTGTTGTATATTATACATTGAATCCCATTCAATTGTACAGAAACATACCAAACAAATAACACTGTTTAACTGTAAAAGCATCAGTGTAATGCGGTGTTTTACGGTGAAAGCAACATCGAAATACTGCAATTTAAATGTTCTGTAAAACGTATTTATTACAATTAAAATACAGAAAAAACTGTTCTATGAATATCAATCTCAAATATATAAAACCGCCTGTAAGGATTATTGCTCAGTGGAAAAAAAATGTTTTTCCTATATATTAGTCAGATTTAAAGATTTCATTTAAACTACACTGCCTTCGTATATATATATATATATATATATATATATATATATATATATATATATATATATATATATATATATATTTGACTATTACCAGAAATGTGAAGAATGTAATCCAGGGCACACAGATTAAGCACTTAAAATAAAAAATGCAAAGCTAGATAAACCTCAAGAGCCACTGTATTAAAAGTTGAACAAATTCCAACAAGAACTTGCCTTTCCAAGAATGTATTATATATATAATAGCAGTGATCAAAACCATCTGTCATTTCTCAACATACATATTGGTAAAACATACAAACTAAGGCTGCACAATAAACGGCTCACATTGTCCAGGAAATTCAAGCTGAACAAAGTTGAGAGGTTACTTACATTGCATCAAATTATTTATGGGAAATAATGTTTTCAAATATGTTAGTACTTTATACGTCTCATCTCTAGTGGGCACCTGTATAATATAATACTCGACTGTCACAGCCACAGACTGAGCTGTAACTTAGCCAAAATAAGGGATTGTCTTAGTTGAATACATGTTCATTGCTAAAGGAAGTGTGTACGTGATGAAGCTAGTTGCAAAACACATGTGAGTGTGTGTCTAAGTGAGATACTGTAGGTGAAGAAGAGGTAGGGTCAGCAGAGCCCCTTCACTTCAGAAGCAAAAACCCAAGTGGAAAATAAAACACGTCAACATTTTTACACTCAACAGTAATGTCCTGAGCTTTTACATCCACATAAGCCAACCGAAGATTGTTTAAGCAACTTCACTTGGTAACAGCAAACAGCAAGAGTGGCTACAATGACCTTAAAAGAATAGTTTGACATTTTGAGAGTTACATATTGCATTTTTTTTAATTAGTTAAAAGAACATAAAAAAAAAGGCACTTCAAATTTTAACTACGATTTAAACAATCAATCAAACTGTAACTTGGGCACATCGCCACATGCCATTGATCTTGCTGTCCATATTCAGACATCACGCCACTCATGATCCGAAAGTTCCTGTATCAAGGTGAGGACTCTCGGGTTCACCTGAAGACGGGATGCGCGTGTCGTCTCCACTTTGGTGCCCTTCTCCTTCTTGATGGAGAAAAAACACCTTAAAATAAAAATACAAACAAACAACAGAATTAATAATAAAATAGCCTAACAACAAAAAACTTCACATCAATCTTATTATTTTGAAGCGAAAATGACAATTATCTTAACCCCCAATTCACTGAAGCAGCTGCTTTAGATTTGTTGCAGTTTAATAAAAGAAATTGTTGGATAAAGCCAATCCCAAAAAACACATACCTCTGGACAAACTCCAGGGTGGATGCCAGCTCTGACGGGTAGGCCATGTTGAAGCAATAATAGCTCCCAAACATCAGGGCAGAAACCAAGGAGGGGATGTTGTCCTGTACGATGTTCCGATCCACACTCAGCATGAATCGCCTTGAAGAATAGCATGATCGTCCTAAAAAAGAAGAAAAACACAATTCAAACTCAATTAAAACAAGACTTGTCTTCCTGAAACATTTCACAAAACAATTTAGCACACATGTTATTATTAGGGCCGGGACTTTAACGCGTTAATTAAGATTAATTAATTACACAAACATTAACGCGTTAAAAAATTTTACGCATTTTAATCGCACTTATTTTTGCACCGCGGAACGTTTCTCACTGGATGAGTTTCAGGCGTACCGATTATACTGGAGCACCAACTAACGTTCATGACTTCAGACAACAACAAACCACAGTGAACAACAGTGGGAAATGTTGTTTTAAAAAACGGACGGATGGAAGCGTCGATAAGAGCACGGTTGTGTGCAAATTATGCAAAAAGGAATTCGCATATCACCGCAGCACCACCAGCCTCAAGTATCACCTCAATGCAAAACATATAGCAGCTAGCGTGGACGTTAGCCTCTTTTATCGCGTTCACACCAAAAGAGCTGGTACTAAAATTAGTTCATGAGAACCTTTTTACCCCCACGAAAGTCCCTGCTAGAGAGCAGAGAGCTGCTAGAGAGCAGGGACTTTCGTACGGCTCTCTTGTGAGAAAAGAGCTATATGTCTGATTGGCTGGGCGACCACGCCCCGTAAAACTCCAAAAAAGTTTTGTGAAGCCGCCATTTTATTATCCTCGCATTAGCATTATTAGCATTAGCCCAGCGCAGAAACGCAGAGAGACTAACTTATGGCAACACAAAATAAAACATGGGAGCGGTGGAGATGAGGAGGTGTCGGCGTTCTGGCAATTTACTCGGAAGGCTTCAGTAGAAGCTGCTGGGACTCCCAGCAGCTTCTACTGAAGCCAGTCCCTAACTCCGGGGACTTCCGGCTGGGGACTTTGGGCGGCAGTATACGCCGTGAAGTGGTTTGCGGCCTGCCAGTAAACCCAAAGCAGAAGAAGAAGAAGTGACGTCAGCGGCTTCATTTGCCTAATCCACTAATGTTCAAAGAGTTCTCATGAACTAAATTCTCATGAACCTTTGTGGGAAAAGTACTGCGGTGTGAATGCGCCTAATGGTATACTAAAATCCATGTGAAAAAAATTGCTTCTCACTGTTCTCAGGTCAAATATTTATATGTGATTAAAAATGCGATTAATTTCGATTAATTAATTACAAAGCCTCTAATTAATTAGATTAATTTTTTTAATCGAGTCCCGGCCCTAGTTATTATCTTTTAAGGTCTGTTAAATTGCTCACCATCAATACAAAAATGTATGTATGTGTATTTGCAGGTTAAGGGGAGATAAATGTAATGTCAATTTGACTTGCTTTTAGGGGGTAGTTTATATTGTTTGAAGGGGGGTTGTAGGAGCTACAGTTTGGAGAAACAGAGAGGAGAACCAGCAGACAGCTAAGCAATGCACTGCACTGCTGTGGACTTACACAGAACACAAATGCAACACTTTTGTTTTTGCTCCCATTTTTCATGAGATGAACTCAAAGATCTAAAACATTTTCTATAAACACAAAATAACCATTTATCTCAAATATTGTTCACAAATCTGAAAACATCTGTGAAAGTGAGCACTTCTCCTTTGCCGAGATAATCCATCCCACCTCACAGGTGTGGCATATCAAGATGCTGATTAGACAGCATGATTATTGCACAGGTGAGCCTTAGGCTGGCGTTGACGGTGTTGACGTTAACACGAATGCCCGTTAAGTTTGAACCCGCTCAGATGTAGCTTCAAACCCCCTGCTCAGTAGACGTTATAACTATGACTGCAAAATACACTCAATCACAAACAGAAGCTAGTATTGTCCTGGCAACACACCGTTGTTTGCTTGCAGTTCGCGCCAACACATTTGAAAAACACTGGGGTTCCTATGCAATGCAGAACATAACCCCTCGTCTGTAGCGTTTTGCTGCAAAATGCACTCAATCAAAAATCAAATCACCGTGTTATAATTGAAGTTTGAAGAAAATAAACGGTTAGTTTACCAGTGCTACAGATGTGATCCTCCGCTCATGTGCACACAGCTCCGTGGCAGGCAGACTTGAGACAGACTTGGCCGCACACCGAGCCGTAACCGTTAACCTGCAAAAACAGTAATCATTTTTAGCACGCTAACACGACTGCCCGTTAAATTTGAACCTGCTCAGATGTAGCTTCAAACCCCCTGCGTCACAACAGTTTGAATTAAAACGAAAATAAAGAGATCAGTTTTTAGCATGATACTTCAATAACGTTACTAGACTATTTAAATTAACTCTGCCAGTAGACGTTATAACTATGACTGCAAAATGCAATAAATCACAAACCGAAGCTAGTATTGTCCTGACAACACACCGTGTTATAATTGAAGTTTGAAGAAAATAAACGGTTAGCTTACCAGTGCAACAGATGTGATCCTCCGCTCATGTGCACACAGCTCGTGGTCCGTGGCAGGCAGACTTGAGATAGACTTTCCCGCGCACCGAGCCGTTAACCTGCTAAAAAGTGGCTGCTCCCGCGATAATTAAATAGTCCAATAGATACAGTCGGCAAGCGAGGGAACGCCCACAAAACGTCACATCCGGTTCGCGCCGAGGGGGAAAACAAACCGGCTTCCACAATGCCCAGGAGCTGCAGTGTGCCCTTTTGTACAACTAACAAGCTTAAAAATCCAAATCTAAAATGTTATATTTTGCCCAACGGGAGCACAGAGCCCAGGAGAAGAACCCGGTGGCTTCAAGCGATCCGTCGGGAGGGTGAGTTTGGCCACCTGTGGGATCCAAAATCCAAACATGTGTACGTCTGTAGTCAGCACTTCATTACAGGTATGACAACGTTATTCACACAATAACAGTGTTAAATTGTTTCGTAGTTAACATGAATGTTCAATTACTAGTTTTAAGAGAAGTTAACTAACTACTACGTTATGCAGGCTACCTTGCTTGAGTATACAAAAACACAGCTCTGCTAACAACATTGGTGGTAGCTTCCGAGCTTTCTGCAGTTAAAATGTATTTCACCCCCTTCTATCCCCTTCTCATTTCGTTTGTGAACTGTCTTGCCCTAGGCTTAAAAAACGAGGACATAGCCCACCCAGACTACACACCCTCGCTGTTCCCACATAAAAAGACAAAGTCTCCCAGGTCAGTACTTCAGAGGCTGGAGAGAAGGAGGAAGCGTGAGGGTGTTCAGTCTGCCCAACCAGAATCCCCAACATCAGAGGGCCCAGCACCAGAAGCCCCAACATCAGAAGCTCCCATACCTCTTCAGGAGTTAGAGAGAAAACAACTTTATGAAGAATTGGATAATTTAAGAAGAGAAAGAGATGAGGCCATGAAGGAGCGAGCTGAAGCCATCAGAGAATTGGAGACGTTGAAAATGTCGGTAAACAGAGAGAAAATGACACTAAATGTAAAGTCATGACAGGCCTGTCATGGACAGTATTTGACACTCTTCATCAGTACCTGGTACAGTTTGTTAAGTCACAGAAAACATCCAAGATGTCAACACAAGACCAGCTCTTTATTACTCTGGTGAAACTGCGGCAGAACCCCTCAACCGATATGATGTGTGGAATATTTGACCTGGCACATAGCACTTTCCTGGATGTATTCTCCCGATGGTTGGATTTGATGTACGCCAACATTTCTTTTTTGATTAAATGGCCTGATAGAGAGTGTATCAGAAGCACAGTACCAGCAGAGGTTCTCTTCCAGTACCCTAGAGTGACTGCAATTATCGACTGCTTTGAGATCAGAATTGAACACTCAAAGAAGCTGAAAACAAGGTGAGATATTTTTCTTTTTGATAGCATGCATAAAGTGTCAGGTTTTTGTAATACTTACCTGGCTGTCTGTGTATATGTACACAATTTATAGATAAGTATTACTAACGACTGTCTCTTCTCACAGAGCTATCACCTACTGAAAATACAAAAACTGGACTACAGTGAAGTATTTCATTGCATGTCACCCATCTGGCTCAATCACATATATCTCCAAAGGCTGGGCAGGGAGGGCTTCAGATGTGCATATTGTAAGGAACTCAGACTTCTTATCTCAGAAGTTCCACCATGCAGGAGATCAGGTAACAATTGAACTGTTTTTTTGTTTCTAATTTAAGTCTTATTTGTGAATTTATTATTTACCCATAGTTACCATTTTTGAGTTGCTGTTGAAGTAAAGTAGTGTTTTTAAGTATTTGTGATGTTTATTTCAGATTTTAGCCGACAGGGGCTTCACTTTGAAGGATGACTTTGCTGTTCTGGGTGCACAGCTCATCACACCGTCTTTCACGAGGGGCCGAAAACAACTGTCAGCCGAAGATGTTGCGATCTGTGGTCTGCAGAGAGAGTCATTGGGGCCCTGAAGAGCCGGTACCACATTCTGGATGGCCCACTTCCTCTGCGCCTGGTGAAGAGACTGCAGGATGAGAGACAGAAGAGAGAAGAGGCCATGATGGATAGGATTGTGCATGTCTGTGCAGCACTAATGAACCTGTCTGGCAGTGTCATGTACAACCGTTACAGAATCTGAGAGTAAGAACAAAATCAATGTGCAGTCATTTAATAATGAGCATCAGAGAACAATATTTTATGCAACTTTTTTATACAACAAAGAAGTCATTATTGTTCCAATTGTGCCATTTAACAGGTTTCAGTTGAGACATAATGGATCTTTCTAATCAAAACCACCTGTTTGTCTTTCCACAGGTCCCTGAACTGATCTCAGTGCTGCTCTGCTGCTGCACACCCTGTCACCCTGCCTCTGATACCTGTCGCCCTGCCTCTGATGCCTGTCACCCTCCCTCTGATGCCTGACGCTCTGCCTCTGATGCCTGTCACCCTGACGCTCTGCCTCTAATGCCTGACGCTCTGCCTCTGATGCCTGACGCTCTGCCTCTGATGCCTGTCACCCTCCCTCTGATGCCTGACGCTCTGCCTCTGATGCCTGTCACCCTGACGCTCTGCCTCTGATGCCTGACGCTCTGCCTCTGATGCCTGACGCTCTGCCTCTGATGCCTGTCACCCTGCCTCTGATGCCTGTCACCCTGCCTCTGATGCCTGTCACCCTGCCTCTGATGCCTGACGCTCTGCCTCTGATGCCTGTCGCCCTGCCTCTGATGCCTGTCACCCTGCCTCTGATGCCTGTCACCCTGCCTCTGATGCCTGTCGCCCTGCCTCTGATGCCTGTCACCGCTGCCTCTGATGCCTGTCACCCTGCCTCTGATGCCTGTCCCTGCCTCTGATGCCTGTCGCCCTGCCTCTGACGCCTGACGCTCTGCCTCTGATGCCTGACGCTCTGCCTCTGATGCCTGTCACCCTGCCTCTGATGCCTGTCGCTCTGCCTCTGATGCCTGTCACCCTGCCTCTGATGCCTGTCACCCTGCCTCTGATGCCTGTCGCCCTGCCTCTGATGCCTGTCGCCCTGCCTCTGATGCCTGACGCTCTGCCTCTGATGCCTGACGCTCTGCCTCTGATGCCTGACGCTCTGCCTCTGATGCCCTGTCGCTCTGCCTCTGATGCCTGAACGCTCTGCCTCTGATGCCTGACGCTCTGCCTCTGATGCCTGACGCTCTGCCTCTGATGCCTGTCGCCCTGCCTCTGATGCCTGACGCTCTGCCTCTGATGCCTGACGCTCTGCCTCTGATGCCTGACGCTCTGCCTCTGATGCCTGTCGCCCTGCCTCTGATGCCTGACGCTCTGCCTCTGATGCCTGACGCTCTGCCTCTGATGCCTGACGCTCTGCCTCTGACGCTCTGCCTCTGATGCCTGTCACCCTGCCTCTGATGCCTGACGCTCTGCCTCTGATGCCTGTCGCCCTGCCTCTGATGCCTGTCACCCTGCCTCTGATGCCTGACGCTCTGCCTCTGACGCCTGACGCTCTGCCTCTGACGCCTGACGCTCTGCCTCTGATGCCTGACGCTCTGCCTCTGATTTCTGACGCTCTGCCTCTGTTGCCTGACGCTCTGCCTCTGATGCCTGATGCTCTGCCTCTGACGCTCTGCCTCTGATGCCTGTCGCCCTGCCTCTGATGCCTGTCGCCCTGCCTCTGATGCCTGACGCTCTGCCTCTGATGCCTGACGCTCTGCCTCTGATGCTGACGCTCTGCCTCTGATGCCTGACGCTCTGCCTCTGATGCCTGTCACCCTGCCTCTGATGCCTGTCGCTCTGCCTCTGATGCCTGACGCTCTGCCTCTGACGCTCTGCCTCTGATGCCTGACGCTCTGCCTCTGATGCCTGTCGCCCTCCCTCTGATGCCTGACGCTCTGCCTCTGTCGCTCTGCCTCTGATGCCTGACGCTCTGCCTCTGATGCCTGTCACCCTGCCTCTGATGCCTGTCGCCCTGCCTCTGATGCCTGTCACCCTGCCTCTGATGCCTGTCACCCTGCCTCTGATGCCTGTCACCCTGCCTCTGATGCCTGTCACCCTGCCTCTGATGCCTGTCACCCTGCCTCTGATGCCTGTCGCCCTGCCTCTGATGCCTGTCACCCTGCCTCTGATGCCTGTCACCCTGCCTCTGATGCCTGTCGCCCTGCCTCTGATGCCTGTCACCCTGCCTCTGATGCCTGTCGCTCTGCCTCTGATGCCTGACGCCCTGCCTCTGATGCCTGACGCTCTGCCTCTGATGCCTGACGCCCTGCCTCTGATGCCTGACGCCCTGCCTCTGATGCCTGACGCTCTGCCTCTGATGCCTGACGCTCTGCCTCTGATGCCTGACGCTCTGCCTCTGATGCCTGACGCTCTGCCTCTGATGCCTGACGCTCTGCCTCTGATGCCTGACGCCCTGCCTCTGATGCCTGACGCTCTGCCTCTGTTGCCTGACGCTCTGCCTCTGACGCTCTGCCTCTGATGCCTGACGCTCTGCCTCTGATGCCTGACGCTCTGCCTCTGATGCCTGACGCTCTGCCTCTGATGCCTGATGTTCTGCCTCTGATGCCTGTCGCTCTGCCTCTGATGCCTGACGCTCTGCCTCTGATGCCTGACGCTCTGCCTCTGATGCCTGACGCTCTGCCTCTGATGCCTGACGCTCTGCCTCTGATGCCTGACGCTCTGCCTCTGATGCCTGACGCCCTGCCTCTGATGCCTGGCGCTCTGCCTCTGTTGCCTGACGCTCTGCCTCTGACGCTCTGCCTCTGATGCCTGACGCTCTGCCTCTGATGCCTGACGCTCTGCCTCTGATGCCTGAGTCGCTCTGCCTCTGATGCCTGACGCTCTGCCTCTGATGCCTGACGCTCTGCCTCTGTTGCCTGACGCTCTGCCTCTGATGCCTGACGCTCTGCCTCTGTTGCCTGACGCTCTGCCTCTGATGCCTGACGCTCTGCCTCTGATGCCTGACGCTCTGCCTCTGTTTCCTGACGCTCTGCCTCTGACGCTCTGCCTCTGATGCCTGACGCTCTGCCTCTGATGCCTGACGCTCTGCCTCTGATGCCTGACGCTCTGCCTCTGATGCCTGACGCTCTGCCTCTGTTTCCTGACGCTCTGCCTCTGACGCTCTGCCTCTGATGCCTGACGCTCTGCCTCTGTTGCCTGACGCTCTGCCTCTGACGCTCTGCCTCTGTTGCCTGACGCTCTGCCTCTGATGCCTGACGCTCTGCCTCTGTTTCCTGACGCTCTGCCTCTGACGCTCTGCCTCTGTTGCCTGACGCTCTGCCTCTGATGCCTGATGCTCTGCCTCTGATGCCTGACGCTCTGCCTCTGACGCTCTGCCTCTGATGCCTGACGCTCTGCCTCTGATGCCTGACGCTCTGCCTCTGTTGCCTGACGCTCTGCCTCTGACGCTCTGCCTCTGATGCCTGACGCTCTGCCCTCTGATGCCTGACGCTCTGCCTCTGATGCCTGACGCTCTGCCTCTGACGCTCTGCCTCTGATGCCTGACGCTCTGCCTCTGTTGCCTGACGCTCTGCCTCTGATGCCTGATGCTCTGCCTCTGTTGCCTGACGCTCTGCCTCTGATGCCTGACGCTCTGCCTCTGTTGCCTGACGCTCTGCCTCTGATGCCTGATGTTCTGCTGCCACTTGTGTTGCCTGATGGGTCACTCCCTGTGCTGCTTTCGACTGGACTGTGTTCTGCCTACTTAGCAGAAACATATACAGTGCTTATCATAAATGAGTACACCCCCTTTGTAAATAACACAAGAACAATTTGATCAACAATATCAACAATTATTATCTGATTAGTATCAAAGTCACAAGTATAGACAATATTGTCCAGCCCATTATTCATTCTATTTGTAGCCTATGTATGTTTTCATGTTGTAAATAAATGTATAGGCTTTGTGATATTTGATTTTGTACATATAGTCTAGTAGTCTATGTTGATACTAAATACAATAGCTATAATATGCTTCAAAATGAATTGGTATAAATAAATATGTAACTCTGTCACAGTGACTTATTTGTTGCCATTTTTACACTGATAGGAAATTCAACCACCTACCTGTGCATCTTTCAGCTCCCGAAGTTTGTGTAGTATGTGTTGTGACCAAAATGTTTGCATCACATTAATGGCACCACTGATGAAGTCCTCATCTCTTTGTACTCTGAATATCAGGCAGGTCTGAGGAGTCCAAGTGATGAAGTCTGCATACATCCGTTTGGTAATAAACATCTGCATTTGGACCTGTCAAATGCAATCATATGCAATGCAATCATCATAACACTAATATGTACATTATAGACAGTATGCCATCTGTGGATAATTATCTTGGATAATTGCACAAAATGCTCCAGACTTATTAGAGGTGTGCAGGTATATGCAGGTGAAATATTGAAATACCTGAGTGAAATATGCATGACTTCTCTTTAAGCTTGTCAGACTTTCCAGATGTCCTCTTTTGTCCTCAAGCCACTGTTGATACCCAGTAGAGGTGTCTTGCCCCCACCTGTAAGGACACTTAGCCTCTATAACACCCTCACCACAGCAGTCACAGGAAACATAGCCATCACATGAAACCCCCAGGTATGGCATAGTTTGGCAGATGCGGAAGCCAGCCTTTGCGGCTTCTCTGTCACCCTCCAGGATGGCTTTACATCACATCGAAACAGGTAGGTATCCGATGAAGGTAGTTTATGATGGAGCACAACTCCAACAAAGCCACTTGTAAAACAGTTGTGTGCCTCCAGGGACCGATAGTTCTTTAGGCGTGTGTGTGTAAATCCCTGCGTGATAACGTACCGAGTCGTCAATAACCAATATGTATATGCAGCTCATGATGGCTATTGTGCAATAACAACCATTGTGTGATGAACAAATTCACTAAAACGTGCTAATTTCCTTGTTAGACATATACATTATGTGAGGTTTAATTAATCAGTTAACGTGATTTGGCCTCTTACCGGGTGATTCAACCAGGTAGCAGAAGATATCAGGGAATGAAACTTCAGGCCATTCAGTCGGATCATTCGTCCACTCTTTAATAAGATATGGACAAGAATCCGATCCTATTAAATACAACATGTTAAGGTATCTATCCCTGGAAAATGGGCTGCAATGAATCAATGTATGACATGTTTGTTTAATATTTAAAATCCGCGCGCTTACAGTGCTCTGGGCGAGGGGGAAATGATTGTTTTCCCCCTCGAAATGCCCCGCCCCCAACTGTGACGCGACGCCGACTGTATGTATGAAATAACAGAAACAAACTCTACTGCTCAGTAGGCGTGTCTCAGTTCAGCGGCCGTTTCCTTCGGAGGCTGCGTTCGTTGACCGCTTGCGTCACTTCCGCCGAGAGGCTCCCAATTTTTTTTTAAATACAAGAACGTAACGGCCCGTCCACACGTAGTGGCGCGTTCGATTACTGTTTGGGCTGTCTGCCGTGGGCTGCATTCCACTCCAAATAGCCGGGCGGCCCCAGAATCCAAACGCCAGCTGTTTTATGGATTCTCATTTAATTTCCAAGAATATCTCAGTACTGGGTTATTTCCAATTTCAAAATAAACATATGTATTAAACAAATAGAAATAAGAAGTAAGTATATTATAGTATAATCAAGAATGAAAACATAAAAAAACATGATTTTAACACTGTCATGTTGTCATTTTAACTGTATTGTATTGTTTTATGTATTACAGTTTTTCTGTGTTCAAACCACAGTAATCTGTAAATTATACAATGAAATATCATTGTTTTAACATAATTCTTAATGTGAATTTAACAGTTTTGTTTGGTTCAGTACTTTACGAAATATTACTGTAAATTAAACACTGCTTCATTGTTTCTCTGTTTACAGTTTTTTGATGTCGTGATTTTACAGCTTTTCCCTGTTAATTTCACGGACTCTTTTTACAGTGTATGTTTATCTATCATAATAGTTAATGAAGAGAGGGACATTTAATTTGAGCCTCTGTGCTTCCCTTAGTGCTTCATAGGAGTGGGGGAAATAATCAATACAACATAGTATCGCGATATCTTGTGTCGCAATATTGTATCTATACACGGATACCAAGTATCAATATTTTATTATATAAACTTTTATCTTCGTATATATATATATTTTTTCTTCTATAAACTGTAGCATATCCCTCCGAAAGACGGTCGTATATAAAACGGGAAGTTACGTTAAGACATGTATACAATTGCAATGAAAGTAACACAAACAATGCCATCTCCTTTTCAGGTTCAAAGAACACACATTGGGTTATTTACATAAACTATTCATATTGCAAATACATGTTTTAACCAGGAAGGGAAGACTGACATGGATATGAGCCATGTGATTTGCTATATCGCAATATATCGTATCTCAATACTTAGCATATCAGAGAATCGCAATACTATCGTATTGTGGCTTAAGTATCGCAATAGTCTCGTATCGTGGGGAGCCTGGTGATTCCCACCCCTAGTGCTTACAAATAAATAAGAATTTAGTGCAAAAGAAACATTACAATTTGTATTTATTAAACAAAGAACAGGTGTATCAAATATGGAAAAAAGCAATTAAAGAACACTAATTTAATAAACAAAAAAGACTCAGATTTATCAGTTCAAATGATTATTTTTAAAGTTTCTTAAAGGTTATGAAATATGGCAAAATAATAAAAGAGCAAAGCAAATTAAAGAAAGTCGATATAATTAACAAAAATACTTGTTATTAATTACCTTTTTTAATGTGGATAAAATAAGGCAAAAGCCTGAATACATGTTATTTATTTTAACAGTCAATACAAAGTCAAGTCTACATTTGTAATGACTTGCAGTTAAACCTAGTGGGTTTATATTCTCACTTCCTTTAACACAGCATGTGACCTTTAACACAGCATGTGACCTGTAAAGTACTTCCTGTGAAATCCTTATTTGTCATCATGCGGTGATGAATGATAACTGAAACCATGAACTCAGGAAGCAGAACAAGTGACCGCAGCAACATCTGCATGAAAAACTCTCAACAGACATTATTTTATCAGACACCATTTTAAAAGATGTCTGTCTCTGATAAAAACACAATATTGCTGCAAGAAAATACTCACAGGATTTCCACTTCACTGTCTGAGGATCCATGAGTTCAGCTTTCTGAAGAAGGGAAACAGGAACTAAAGGAGGCAGACATCATTACATCCTGTAAATGTACAGTATCTCATCTTGTAAAGTGACGAGACAAACACCGTTTACAGTTAAGAAACACACCAGAAGGATCTTTGTGTGTGTGTGTATGTGTGTGTGTGTGTGTGTGTGTGTGTGTGTGTGTGTGTGTGTGTGTGTGTGTGTGTGTGTGTGTGTGTGTGTGTGTGTGTGCTCTCTGCTGTCTCTGATCATCCCATCTATTTATCACCAGATTGTAAAAGCAATGCATATTTGTATAAACTTAAATTAAAACGTTATAAAATCATGATAAATAGTGTATGAAGTGTATTTAGAGCATGCACCTTGTGCCCGGCGTCCTGCAGCAGCTTTGCAGCCGTCAGTCCTGCAGCCCCGGCCCGACAATGACCACGTGATGGGAGGAGTGGATGTGAGGAAGGCCGCTCTGCAGCGTCTTCAGGAGATTCTTGTAGTCTTTGTCCTGCTCCTGCAGACAGTCCTTCAGATGTTCCTCCAGATGTTCCTCCAGATGTTCCTTCAGATGTTCCTCCAGATGTTCCTCCAGATGTTCCTCCAGATGTTCCTCCAGATGATCCTCCAGATGTTCCTCCAGATGTTCCTCCACACTCCCAGCAGCTGATGATGTGTTTCTGAGACAGAGAGTGAGCAGCAGCAGCCGGACGACACCTGGAAACACAGATATTATTATTCAGGGGTGAAGGGGAGTCAATGGAGAGAGGGACATTTTAAATTGTGACTGTGCTTCCCTTGGTGCTTTACAACAAATACATATGAATTTAGTGCAAAAGAAACATTTATTATATTTGTTTAATGATTTATTAAACAAAGAACTGGTGTATAAAATATGGCAAAAATAATTAAAGAACACTAATTTAATAAACAAAAAAGACTCAGATGTATCAATTCAAATTAAGATTTTTTAAAGTTTTGTTTAGGGTTATAAAATATGGCAAAAATATTGAGAAAAAGTGCACAAAAAAACATTAAAGAAAGTCGATTACATTTCATAAAGATTATTTTAGCAACATGGAATTTCAAAGTGATTTACAATAAAAAATAAGAGATTAAAAAATATGGCAAAAATAATTAACACAAACTGCAAAAAAATGAAAGAAGGTCGATTTAATTAACAAAAATACTTGTTATTAATCATTATTCTGATGATTTCCTTTTGGAAGGGGGATACAATATGGCAAAAGCCTGAATACATGTTATTTATTTAAACAGTCAATAAAAAGAAAAAAACATTAAAACATTTTACAAAAAATCCAAACAAAACCTAATTCTTTTTTTTTTAATGACTTGAAGTTAAACCTAGTGGGTTTATATTCTCACTTATTTTAAAGGTCCCACATCATGGCCATTTCTACTGATCATAGTTCCATTGTTGAGGTCTACTAGAATAGATTTATATTGTTCAATGTTCCAATACCACATTGGTTCCTCATCCAGCATCTCTGTATAGTCTGTGTATTCACTCTCTGTCCTACACGGCTTGTTGGAGCTCCTGCCCTATCTAGTTGCACGCGCTACTAAAGAGAGGTGCTACCATGGAAATCAAACGATGGTGTAGCTGTAATAAAGTCCGAGTGGAAACAGTCGTGTGTAAATCTGATTTTGTCAGAAATCGGGAGAAATGCGGGAGAAATATGAAACCGGGAGGGTTGGCAAGTATGAGAGGGTTTTTGACTCTGCAGACCGTTTACATGCAGAAAAACCTTCATAACACACAAGGGGACGGGAAATAACCGGAAAAGCATGACATGTGACCTTTAACACAGCATGTGACCTGTAAAATACTTCCTGTGAAATCCTTATTTGTCATCATGCGGTGATGAATGATAACTGAAACCATGAACTCCGAAAGCAGAACAAGTGACCGCAGCAACATCTGCATGAAAAACTCTCAACAGACATTATTTTAGGGAATTTCCAAAGATGTCTGTCTCTGATATTTTGTAGTATCTCATCTTGTAAAGTGACGAGACAAACACCGTTTACAGTTATTAAGAAACACACCGGAAGGATCTTTCAGCCGCAGTATTACCTGTGAGTGTGTGTGTGTGTGTGTGTGTGTGTGTGTGTGTGTGTGTGTGGGTGTGTGTGTGTGTGTGTGTGTGTGTGTGCTCTCTGCTGTCTCTGATCATCCCATCTATTTATCACCAGATTGTAAAAGCAATACATATTTGTATAAACTTAAATTAAAACGTTATAAAATTAAACACATTTATAATATATATATATTTAAAAGCATATATTGGCTTATTATGTTTTCCTTTGTTTATCTTGTTTGATACATTTAATGTTTTCATATTCCTCCTCACATATATATATAAACATATATATATATATATTTATGTTTTCAATAAAGCTTTTAATATTGTATTTCTATTATGTTTACCTCAACTCTCCCTTCAGGGTCTGGTTACTTCCAATCTAGGCTGTGTCATCTTTATAAATTAATCTAAGACGCATCTTGCAGATAATATATCAATATTTTAATAAACTTAATAACAAATAAAAGTATGCTTACCTTTGTTGGAGCCTAAACAACAGATGGTGCCGTCACAGAGAGCTGAGGTGGAATCAAGCCCTCCTTTATACCCCAGAGTCTCCCTCTGACCTCAGAGGGCAGGACCTTTGCACCGGCCAAGGTTCTCTTTCCCAAGTCTTCACATTTATGATTCATTTAACAATCAGGTTGATGTCCTCTCGTGTTAACAATTATATTCCTTTAACACCTAGCATGCACTAGAACATCAGTGGAAATGTATTTTTGGGGGGATTGAGGGTATTCAAACACAAATCAGCCAAAAACAATATAATACAACAAAATGATGTGAAAATATTAATATTTTTAATTTGAAGGAGTTTGTATTCAACCTCTAGTTCCCTCTATATATACAAATATATATATATATATATATATGATTTTGTTTTACTAACTATACAACCAAATCAGTCGAAAATAAAAAAACTTAAAATATTGTTTCTGTTTATTTATTTTGGAAGACTTTAATAACTCACTGAGCAAAAAATAAAATTCTTACAAAGCTAATCTGTAAATAAATGGAAGAACAGGTATTAAAAACCTTGCTCAGTAAAATGTTATTTAATCCATGTTATCTTTTACTTGTTTGTATATGTGGTGAAAAGTGCAACTGTTAATGGACTGCATTATTACAGAGCTTAGATAAATCATTATAACCCATAAATCTCTTAGTCACCTTTCAAATATAAACTTTTAACACTCTGGAAGCATCATCAACGTTCACTTTATTTATTAAATATACGTTAAAATCAGGGTTTGTTTCTTCTCATATTGTAATCTCATCAGCTGGTCGACATGTGTGAATCATTTCTTGGTCATCTCGCCAAAAAGTGAACTTAAAAGAGGAAATAAAAGGCGGATTTATTTTATTATTGAGTCATTTGGGATTTCCTCCACTAACCAAGTGTTTTTTCGTTTCCTATTTCCTATTTATTTTTCATTGTGTATTTATTATTTGCTTATTTATTGTTCTGAGAAAGAATTGTTTCAGTCCTTTTGAACTGGTTGCTCAATCAGTTATATTAAAATATATATATATATATATATATATATATATATATGTGAACAGAGGGAAAAACTGTTCAAGTTAAACTGAAATGGTTAAAAGCAAATGTGTGAATTTATCAATATTGAAATACGTGAAATTGAATTAAATAAAAAACCTAATAAAAATGTTTTGGATAAAGTAAGTTAAATAAAGAATGAACAATAAAAATAAAAACAATTAAATAAAGATTTGTATTCAAACATAAGAATTAAAAATGTGGAGTAAAGATTTGAAAAAATAAAATATTATACCAACATATAGTAAGTTTTAATAAGTTGAATATTTGTAATAATACAAATAATTAAATATATGTTTAGATGAATACCATATTGTTATAATTAATATTAGAAATAGTAGTAGTAATTTATATGCAGGAATAAATTACATCAATTCATTTTGTTTTATTGTATTTTTATAAATTAAAAGTCAATTGACTTGAAAAACATTAATTGCATTTATAAGATCAAAAATCATCCGTTTGAATTTATTTAAATTCTAAAGTACATGATAACACCAAAAGCCGTGATACAGAGAGAGAGAAAGAGAGAATACTAAACCCCATTTCGTCATCTTCAGTGAAACTAAAACAAAGTGTTTTTGGAGCCCGTCCCAGAACCAGATGGCTCAGTTGGTGCAGAAATATAATTAAAACATATCACCTTCAAATTAAACATTATCTCTCACGGAACATTAAAAACATATTTAAAGTTAACATGGCCGTAAGCAAATATCAAAAGTGTACATGAGCATCATGTAAATACAAAAATAAAACACATTTTTACATCTTAACTACATAGACTTGAATAGTGAATTATATGTAGGCAATATACGCCGTCTGAGTCTTTCTGTTCCTGTGAGTAATGTTCAGATATGTTATAATGTTGTAACTTTCTTTCATGTCTTTTTGCTGTTAATCTGCCGATAAATCTGCTCCGTCCCTTCACACATCGTCTTCACAAAACGGGGGCAAATTCAAATACAACTCCAGCTATGTGTTGCTAGGCAGACAGTGAGCAGAAGTATATTTGCCCCTGTTGATAGATGCAGGGTAAGATAAGCACAATGACATCAGAAAGGAGGGTAGTTAAATATGTCAGGTTATGTTACAACCAGAATGAATTGATGGTGAACCACAGTCTGTCTCCGGTCTTCCAGGGCTTCAGGTCCTTCCACTCCAGCTCAGTGTTAGAACGATTGGGACCATAACCTGCTGCCCACATCTGTAAAATACAAAACCACAGACTTACAAGCAGAATCATTAAATCAAATAAATGAATGCAGGGAAAATGCAACAACACAAAGTGAAAAAACAAGAAAGACTCACAGTGACAAATCTTCCAGCCTTGAGTTTGAAAGATCGATCAAATGTGTACATGCAGGTTTTGTTGTCATTAACCTGCAGATGTAACTCCGCGTCTCCCAGAAGTTTGTCCTGAATGAAGTGAAATAAGGGGAGGGAGGATGAGAGACAGAAAGACCAACAACAAATTACACAAAAACAAGAGAAAAGGGGTTCTTAAGGTTAAACAGGTCATTATGAGAGTTTGAGAAGAAGAAGAATTCAACGGCTCATTTGGAGGATGTTTAAATGATAGTATTCACTCTCATAAAGCACTCAGAGATCATCCACACAACATTACCTCAGTCGTACTGTTTTTCAGACGGATACAGATGCCCTGTTGGCGGACCTCAATATTGAATCCTGTACGAGGGGTTCTGGCGTGGTTAAACACGGCACGGCTGCGGTGTGGTTCCACAGATTGAGAATTATAAAACTCTTCACATCTTCCTAGCTGAAACTAAGGGGGAGACAACACAGAACATAGGGCACCACTTTACAATAGGACTACCCTTATAAAGGATTCATAAAGGGTTTGTAATTAGGTTATGAATTAGGTTGTAAACACTTTATTAATCTTTAAGAACCATTTATAAACCAGTTCTAACATAGTTTTCATACATCAACACAGGCTCACTATTTGGCAAGATGACTAAGCCTTAGGTAGCCAATATAAGGCTTAGCAGTACAGATACATGTGGGCTCACTATTTGGCGAGCAACTGGTCACAGTTGCCCTGTTTATCTCATGTCTTATAAAAGCTAATTCATTTTTTATAACGTGTTCACAACCTGATTAATAAATTACAAACTATTCGTAAACCCTTGATAAGGGTAGTCTTATTGTAAAGTGGTACAGAAAATATTCATCCATCATCTTTGAACTCAGCTGTTTGATCCCTGTGACACGCTGAGATCCATCTCATTTGGTGTCTCAGTGTGTTTTCATGTAGTTTGAGTTGTCTTGGTCTCAAATATCAACTACTTGTAAAGAAGATTCAACTAAAGTGTGTGACAACAACAATATAAACAACGCATCTTATTGGTCCTTCACTTCTCTCTCATTCTCAGATTATCTCAAGGTTAGTTTGATCCCTTTAGCCTCTTGAAGAATCAATGTCTTTTGGAGAAGATGAAGTAAAGATTTGAATTAAGTTGTCCACCTTCTTTGCAAATCCCCAAGCTTCCTTTCCCCTCCGCTTCTTCTCATGGGGTTGCTGGTTGCCCTTGGAGACACCATATGAAGGAGATGAAGCATTGGGAGGAACTGTGTGCTTCAGGTCTTTCTCAGCGTCCTCTCTGCTGGTCTTCTTCTCTGGGACCATCAGAACCTGCAAGATAAAGAGAGATACAGACATTTGAACTTTTACATTTGACTTTTGAACTAATTTAACATGATATCCTTGTCTGGGTGAAAGCATATCCTGCTCTGCATCACATTTTCTCTCACAGGACAATACATAATTGATCTGCTTCACAGTAGCATTTCAGTACAGTTTGAGTTGGTTAGTTTTATCACTTTGGCCTCAGCAAAACATCTGTGTAATTCAGAACATTCAAAAATAGTTTTGGTAAGAAAAATAAATTCAAGGAAGCACTTTAAACTGACTGTGTGCTTCCGTCTTCCTGCAAACTGTGTTTGAATGAAGCTGACTGATATGTGAAGCAGCAGGAGCCTCTTCTAAAGGGCGCTGAACGTCTAGTTGATCCTGAACATGAGTCACTGCAGGACCTCATGCTGTGTGTGAAGGACTTTCAGTGGAGATGACAAACCTTTTTCTGCAGCTTCTCCTCCAGGATGTGAACGTTCCTCTCAGCTTCCTCCCTCCTCTGCTGCTCCTCCAGGATGTGAACTTTCCTCTCAGCTTCCTCCCTCCTCTGCTCCTCCTCCTTAAACTTCTGTCTGGACACCAGCAGCCGTTTTAACTGAAATACAGAGAGGCAGAGATCAGGAACATGTTGATTGGAGAATGTGACTCAACATGACAAATATCAAGGGGTCTGACTTTGTGATTTTTTACGATTTTTCGACTACAGTTGAGAATAGTTCTACAGCTTGAACAGAAACGGGTTGATGTGCCCTTAGCATTCGCCTATACTGCCTATACCAAGGGCCGGCCCTGGTGAAAACAATATGACATCAACAAAAAGCACCACACATGATGGTTACTTGTTATTATTTAGGGCTGCCTGTAGGGATCAGGTTTTTGCCAAAGCGAGCCCTTTTACTAGAATAATAATATGTTATGTATTATATCAACCGTATTGGTACAATGAGCGACATCTAGTGACGGATTTTGGAACACTGATCTGATATTTCTCATGGCAGTTAGACTCTAGAGACAAACCAGGGGACTTTATTTTTTAATCTGTGTCTGTCTATTTGGTGTAGTATTTGATCCAATATTACATTTGGTTTATATATTAGTCACTTTCTTATTAAATGCCAGGTTTTAGGCCGTGATTTAAACATCCAATCCTGAAAATAAAAATCAACCAGATTAATGTGTCTTTAATCCTGACTAGAGGTAAGTAAATCTGTATAGGAAGACGAGTTAAGGGATAGAGGAGAAAAGGTTATGGTATAATTACAGAGCCTGTCAATTTATAAATTGAGGAAATCAATGTTAGTCTGTTAACCAAAGTGCAGCCATCTATC